TTTAATAATAATTTATAAAAAATATCAGCCAATTAAACATTTATATAGCTACAATTCTGGACAAAATGCATCATTTGAACTTAAGATTGTTCAAATATCAAGTAAAATATACAAGAAAAATGCTAAATAATCTTTGTGAAAACATAGCAATTGATGAGCTTGAACAACGTTTAGTAAAAATACCAAGGTTTTCTGAACTTAAAGTGTTTAAAAAAGGCCTTGAAAATATTAAATACTTTAAAGCTAATGAATTCTGCAATATAATGAAAATGTTTCTCTTTGTTATAGAAGAAATTGTTATTAAACATCATAAAATTTTAATTGAAAAAAATATCACAAAATGATATGATTCTGAATTAATTAATGTTTATTATTACTGGAACAAAATGTATTTGTTTAGTCGAAAGGAATATTTTTTAGAATTAGACCTTGTAGAGTTTAAAATAAATTTATTAATATTTAATATAATTTTTTTTATTTAATAGTTGCAATATTGTATATTAATAAAATTAATTAAAATTATTTTACTATATTATAGGATTTAATTATGAGTTAGGCAAAATTATTTGTTAAACTTTTTAAAAGTTATTCTTCATCAGAATTTTGACTATGTAAATTGCATAATTGATGTTATCATACTATTGAAGCAATTAAAGAATTTGGAGCTATTAACAGATTCACAACAGAGACATATGAAACTTTGCACAAGAACTTTGTAAAAAAGCTATATAGAGCTAGTAATAAGCGTAATGCTACTAAACAAATAATTCAAATGGTTAGTATGCTTATTATTTATCTTAATTCTATTTATAGTTAAATTTTGCTACTAATAATATTTATATATAGGTATATTGTAATTTGATTTTTAATTATCTATCTAAACACAAAAAAGTTTTACAATCTACAAGACAAATATTTAAAAACCTTTTAATTAATGGACTTCTAGAAGAATTCTTATTAAAAACAGCTGATGATTTTTTTCTTCATATATATCAAAGAATAAACTAGCTTCTGAGGTTTTATTAGCTTTTGAACATTTTTTTTCATCATTAAATAGATTCTTTACCTTGTATAAGGATTTAACTAAAGATATGGTAACAGGCAATACTATTATTAAATGCTATACTTATACAAATAGAGCAGCTAGTAAAGATTATATTAGAGCAACAAGCAATTATTATAATAAACCATTATTTAGTAATATATCAATTAGTGTAGATAAAAGTAAAGAGTTTAGAACTGATAATGGAACTTGTTTTTGCAAGGTTTGCTAATAATATTTTTTTTAGTTATTTTAG